TCAAGTATCCAGTAGCATACGAAAAATACATACATTAAACATACATTAAAATAAAATGAAACTAGCGTAGATGGGGAGACTCAAGACTATTATTAAGGCCATAGAAAGAGGCAGAGATGTGCTCCTAAAAAACCCTGCGGCCAGCAGAGGAAATGCTCAATGAATGTCCAGTATGTGTTTTCTAATGCGAACCAGATGTGATGATGGATGTGATTTAACCCGCCATGAAAAAAACTGTCAATGAACTCAACCGCCACACGGGGTCGCTGTTGTCGTCACCGGTAGGCAGCGATGACGTGAATCTCCCGCGACATTATTTATGCCGCTCCGTGAGTCGCACAGACACTTGGCCGGGTCCGAGGAGAAACGTTGCACCGACACAAGCAGCGCCGTGTGGAAATGACAGTGTGTAACTTCTTTCTTCAGGGCCGATGTCGTTACGGCGAAAAATGTTGGAATGAGCACCCGAGAGGAGGAAACAGAGGAGGAGGAGGAGGAGGAGGGGGATACAACAACGACTACAGCCGCTCTTCCCAGCAGCAGCCCAGAGGAGGAGGAGGAGGAGGAGGTGGTGGAGGTAACGTCCAGGAGAAATATATCCTAACTTAAACATGAAGTATTTCTGTAGCCGCTCTCTTGTTTGGGAAACTTTGCGTTGACTGTTTTACTGGTTACCTTGCTAACGGTTGCTAACGGTTACTACCGGTTACTACCGGTTACTACCGGACAGAACTGTGGCGGTAACGTCAGCTAACTGTAGCTAACGACCGTCCATGGTATTTAACGTTAGTTTGAACTTAATCTTAACTAACTTAAATATAGAAATATTAAATAACAACGCCACAAACTAACGGTACAGTATTAGACTGAATATGTTTGTGATTGAGTGTTATTCATTTTCACCTACATACAAAAAATAAGGTTACATGTGGACGCTGCATTTACTTTCATCAAAATTCAAATTAATGCAAACTATGTGGGTTTAGGATATAAGCGTTACAGGACGGTTGAACATTGGGAGGGTAATAATAATAATAACTTCATTTATATAACGTTAGAGCCTTTGGAAACAGAGTTTACATCGTTTGGTAATGTTTGGTAGTATTACACTGTGAGGGACTGTAGGTCAAGTCAGATTTATTTATACATGTATGCCAATAAAATTGTCTTTAAAGGGGTTTATAATTGGTAACATACAGCATTTTCTATTCTTAGACCAACTTTAATAACACACACACACACACACACACACACACACACACACTTGGCCCTAGAGGAGGGCTCCTTCTGTCTGGACACACTCAACATTGACTGTTGTCTGTGTGCACGTTGGTTTCAGGGTATGGAAACAGAGTTTGGGTGAATCCTTCCCAGCAAAAAGGAGGATATATCCAGCCGTCATCCTTCTCTTCTCGTGGCAGTGATGACTGGGGCCGAAGAGGAGGAGGAGGAGGAGGATCTGACTGGGGCAGAGGAGGAGG